AAAATACAAAAAAAAGAAAAAAAAAAAAGAAAAAAAAAGAATAAATAAGTAAACAAATAATAAAATAATAATAAAATAGGGTAAATAAAAATTCGCGAAAAATGTAAATTTTGTATCTTCGAGATTGTGTACCGTTATCATTGTAATAATAGTACATATATATATATATAAATATTATAAATATATAAATAAAAAAAGTCTATATATATATATATAAAAAAATGAATATAAATATTATAAATATTATAAATAATAATTAAGAAAGAGAGAGAAGAGTGCGTGCGCGTATGTGAATTCGCGTGAATGTGTATGCGTGTGTGTGTGTGTGCGTATTTGCGGTTGGCGAAAAGCAAAATGAGTCAAAAGGAGAGGGGAGAGGGAAGAGAGGAGTAAAAGTGATTGTGCATAAATTAGCGGTTAATTGCGCATCGTAAGATTTGCATCTAGATAGTCGGAGCGCGCGATGGTAATTAAAACGATTTATCGCGAGCGAGAAAGGTTAATAGCCGTGAATGACGATTATCATTATTATTCTTATTACTATTATCGTGGTCGCCGATCGGCCGGTATCGCCGATTATTCATTAATCTCTCCTTCTCTAATTAATTAATTAATTAATCGCGCGGGCACATACACACTCGGCACGAGCCGGCCAAGACACGCCGCAAATTGCGATCCTTTCTTTTCTCGATCTTCGCTAAGGCCGCGTTTTCACCACGAAAAAAAAGGGGGAAAAAGAAAACCCTCCGCCCTCTTCGCGTTCGAATCGATCGATCGATCGATCGATCGATCCTTCGCATTTCAAAATTCCCGCCATCCTTTTAGTTTTACTTTTCAGCGTTACCCCGCTGTTTAATTTTTTGCTTTCGGATACGAATTTTTTTTTTTTTTTTGTTTTCAATTTTTAAGACATCGCTTAAGAACTTCGAAAAATTGGATCGTGTTTTTCGCTCGTTTCTCGCAGCGAGTTTGTAGTTGCATCGACGTTTCTATCGTAGGATTTGAAGGAGGGTGGTGGTGGTGGTCGGGTTCGATTGTAAAATTTCCATATCCGTACCTTTTCCACGTATCAAGTCCAAAGTAGATCGACGAAAAAACGACGATCCAAATATCCCTGGAATATATGTGTGCTCTTTTGAATATAAAAAAAACTTGGAAGAACAGTGTTTCTCAGTGTTTCGAAGCGGGCAGCCTCTTTTTCGCCTCGATATTTTTAGTACGGGAGAAAAAAAAGAAAAAAAAGTAAAATTTTTGTAACGAGACTACAAGGAAATACAATTATTAACGCGGAGAGGCACTGGTCTCGAAGTCGAAATGCGATGGATCGAATCTTCGAGATCGAAGGAAACCGGCGACAGGGATGAGAGGTGGTGTGAGATTTCGAAGAAAAAAAAAAAAGAAAAAGAGAAAAAAAAAAAATAAAAGAAATAAAGAAAAGACTGACGAGCGTATAAGGAGGGAGAAAGAAAGGGATGTTTGTCCGCGAGACGCCGGCCCGCCCCATTTTCTCGCCAACGGGTCGCAGTTGGATATAGAGAACGAAGGGAGGACAGGAGGAAGGGAGAGGCAGGTTATTCTAATAAAAAAATAGTATTATTAGGGAGTAGCGTGTAGACTGTATAAAGAGAGAGGAAAGGGGGAAAAAGAAATACAATGCACGAGCGTACACGAACTATAGCGAAGGGGAAGAGAAAAAGAGACGAAAGCGGAGGCGTGTAATGGATGGAAGATACGATCCAGGCGCGTGTATCGGTGGTCACATCTCGTGGAAGGAAGGAAGGAAGGAAGGAAGGAAGAGGACGCGAGAGGGATGTCTCGACGGTGGATTCGACGAATGTTCGATCGATGATGGGCGTTTCGTGGCGACACTGATTTTTTCGTGGACATGTATAAAGCGACATTGTAAGATATCGTTGTAAAAAAAGGTTTTAACTTAAAAATAAATTAACGATAATTCACGCATAATTCACGCAAGCTCTTTTTTTTTTTTTTTTTTTTTTNTATCTTATCTTATTACACCACGACGGTTTTTTTTTTTTCTTTTTTAAAGAGAACCTCGCTTTTGTCACGGTATATTTCATACTCGAGACATATTTTAAGAAAATAAATAGGGCGTACGAGTCTTTCGATCGTGCTAATAATTATGACGGTATATGAAACGTTAGTATTTGAGGAGGATAGAATTCACTGTTGCTGTTGTTATCCTTAGTCTTGTAAGAATTATATTAATCGTTAAATCTCTAATTTTCTCATACACATTTCTCTCTCTTTCTCTCTCATTTTTTTTTTTTTAATTTCCATTTAATTATATTCCATGAACACGAATGAATCTGTCTATGAGTTAAAAAGTGAAATAAATGTCAAGTATGAGATCTCAAAGAGTTAACTTCTTTTTTTTCGTTCTTCTTAATTCATCGTTTCTTGAAAACGAAAGGAGGAATTTTTTTAAGGATAAAGATCGAGGAGTTGGTAAGTTTTTCAGAGACGATTCGAAAGGGGATATAATTTTCAATTGGGCCGAGACATCAAGGACTTTATTAACAGGTGCGAGTTAATTAAACGTTATCAAGTCGGTACGAGGTGTTAACGTGTGAATCAAAGACCGAGATAAGTCGGCGGTATTCGCGAAAGCGAATAAATTCCATCGGCCGCAGCCGATGGCTATCGATATCCGGCGCGGCAGAGAAAGGATGCATCCCTGCTTGATGCAACCGGAGTGGTTCTGGATACTAGTGCGCGAACATTGATAGAAAAATACAGAAGATTACAGAATTGTCCTTTTTACTTTCTTCTTTCATTAGATGGACATTCAATGGACAACATTCGTTGTGGAGTGTTAATCTCGTTTTTATTATTTATTTATTGAATATAAATTTATATTCAAATATTTTCTTTTTTTTTTTTTTAGAGGATACTCAGAAGTATTAACGAAGCATTAAAAAGAATATTATTATTATTACATATGAAGAAACAAAGTTGATCTTCAGAGGTTTTTTTTACGCATCAAATTAATAAAAAAAAAATTAATAATATCAAGATGTCAGCTTTATTGCAAGTATACAATTTTTATTTGAAATATTTTTTATTATTACAAAAAACAGACAAGATATTCCAGATAAAACAATATCACTCATTACATTTTTTAATCCTAGATTTCAAAAATATACTAGAAAGCGTCTTCATTACTGCAAGAAGATGATCTCTCGTTATAATAGGTAAGTATATAAGGTAAGTATACTTAGATTTAAGAGAACTGTTGAAAAAACGATAAAAAACATAAAAAAATGATAGCTGCAACAGGTAAGTATGGAAAAGGTAAGTATTTTACAGGTAAGCATATAAAATTTAATAAAATCCTAGTTTTTGAAAATATTAAAAAAATTTCGCAAGCTACCTCTTGTCTTATTATATTCTCCTAATAAAAAGTTAGAATTTGGAAACACTGCTGTCAAAAATTTAGATTTTGTATTAGGAGAATATGATTAGTGAGGAGGTGGCATGTGAAATTTTTTCCGAGATTTTAAAATTTAGAAACTTAGAAATTTTTGCCCGGAATTTCGATTTTGTATTAGGAGAATATAATTGGACAGGAGGTGGCACGCGAAATTTTTCCCGAGATTTTAAAATTTAGAAACTTAGAAATTTTTGGCCGAAAACTCGACTTTGTATTAGGAGAATATAATAGGACAGAAGGTGGTACGCGAATTTTTTCCGCGAAATTTTAAAATTTAGAAACTTAGAAATTTTTGGCCGAAAATTCGATTTTGTATTAGGAGAATATAATGGGACAGGAGGTGGCACGCGAATTTTTTCCGCGAAATTTTAAAATTTAGAAACTTAGACATTTTTGGCCAAAAACTCGACTTTGTATTAGGAGAATATAATTGGACAGGAGGTGGCACGCGAATTTTTTCCGCGAAATTTTAAAATTTAGAAACTTAGAAATTTTTGGCCGAAAACTCGACTTTGTATTAGGAGAATATAATTGGACAGGAGGTGGCACGCGAATTTTTTCCGCGAAATTTTAAAATTTAGAAACTTAGAAATTTTTGGCCGAAAACTCGACTTTGTATTAGGAGAATATAATTGGACAGGAGGTGGCACGCGAATTTTTTCCGCGAAATTTTAAAATTTAGAAACTTAGAAATTTTTGGCCGAAAACTCGACTTTGTATTAGGAGAATATAATTGGACAGGAGGTGGCACGCGAATTTTTTCCGCGAAATTTTAAAATTTAGAAACTTAGAAATTTTTGGCCGAAAACTCGACTTTGTATTAGGAGAATATAATTGGACAGGAGGTGGCACGCGAATTTTTTCCGCGAAATTTTAAAATTTAGAAACTTAGAAATTTTTGGCCGAAAACTCGACTTTGTATTAGGAGAATATAATTGGACAGGAGGTGGCACGCGAATTTTTTCCGCGAAATTTTAAAATTTAGAAACTTAGAAATTTTTGGCCGAAAACTCGACTTTGTATTAGGAGAATATAATTGGACAGGAGGTGGCACGCGAATTTTTTCCGCGAAATTTTAAAATTTAGAAACTTAGAAATTTTTGGCCGAAAACTCGACTTTGTATTAGGAGAATATAATTGGACAGGAGGTGGCACGCGAATTTTTTCCGCGAAATTTTAAAATTTAGAAACTTAGAAATTTTTGGCCGAAATTTCGATTTTGTATTAGGAGAATATAATTGGACAGGAGGTGGCACGCGAATTTTTTCCGCGAAATTTTA